AGTTAGGCCCGCCTCTTGGCTAGAAAGGGTGGCCCAGCCCAGCCCGTCAACCCTAACCCAGTGGGTTAAGATGCGGGCTAGGCCGGGTTAGCCCACAATTTTTTGTTTTTTGTTTTTAATTTTTTCTTTTGTGTAATTTGTTTTAGTTAACTTTTCAAATATCAATAATTCAATTAAATTTTTTTTTTTTGGTTAACATTTCAAATATTAATTCAATTTTAATACAATAAAATTGTAATATAAGAAAAAATATATTTATTTATTTATCAAAAAATAAAATAAGAAATTACAACAATTATTGTCTCGTTAAAAACCTTACCAAGAAAAACCCAATGGGAAAAAAACTTGGTAAGGAAAAAAGAGTACAATAATTGACAATTAATTTACAAGTTACAATTTACAAAACAACTAATCTAAGGGTTGACTAAGACTTCCCTCATCCGTATCATCTATATTACAAAATTGAAATGATTCTATTAAAGTATCTTCAATAACCTTGTATTGATCCTGATGGTGCAGTCGTTCCCAATCTCGAAGACATGTGAGGACTTCAATCATTTTTTGTGAAAGTTTAGTCCTCCTTTCATTTAAAATTCTTCCACTTGCACTAAATGTTTGTTCGGATGAGACGGCTAAGACAGGAATAGCGAAAACATCTAAGGCAAGTCTTGATAATACCAAAAAAAATACATTTTTTGGTTTTCCAATATTCTAAGACATCAAAGTTGGCTCTTTGTTGTGGATCCACTGGTAACACTTTGGGGGTTCCCAAAGATTAGTGAAGCTCATTACTCTGTAATTGCATGGAGGATAGTACAGTCGTTGTTGGTGCTTCTAAAGAGGAGGTTGTGCTTCAAGTTCGAGTCCTCTTCGGCCTATTAAGTGCACTTCAAGAGTCGAAGTCTTCATTTGTTTCTTCTGATGCAACTTCCACGGGTATTTTGCCATTTTACTGGTTCTCATACCTGTTTTCATATTGCAAATATACCTCTGCAAGACACTCTCTTACCTCTCCTAGTTGATTGGCATATGCTTCGTTTTGTAAATTTTCAGTTAATGTGTCTAAACCGTTTTCTAAACCTGCTACTTTAATTCTAGGATCAAATATAGCACCTAAACAATAAAGAAAAAGAATGGGTTTCCAATATTTTTTTTTTTTAAAATTCCATTGCCTTTATTGGCCCCGCTAAAATTTCATTGCTTCTGTTTTTTTCTAAATAAAACTGAAATTTTTATAATTATATGTATTACCAATAGACTAGTAGGATAATACACACCAAAAAGTTGTAAAGTGGATTGGTAAAAAAATTTAAGAAAAGAATGAAATTTTTTAGCTATATGTCAATCATTTTCTACCAAACAATGAGGACCTCTATTATTTGCTACAAAATAACTAATTAAATTTGCATAAAGTAAACATGAATCAAGCATTAAATAAGTACTATTCCATTTAACAGGCATGTTTAATGCAAAAGTTCTAGGAGACATATTTGATTTTATACAAGCATCTTGAAATTCAGCATTTCTTTTATTACTACTAGTAATCCAAGCTAAAGAATTCCTATCTCTAATTGTTTTCATACCCCTTTTCACAATTAAATTAATAATGTGACATGCACAGCATTGGTGAAAAAACTTCAAATTGTCATAAAAATGATAATTAATTTTTAAAAAAAAATATATAGTTGTACTATTAGCACTTGCATTATCTAAAGTTAAACTTATCACTTTATTAATAACATCATAATCTTCTAAAACTTCAACAATTTTATTATAAATTTGTTGACCACTATGATCCACATCCATTAATCTAAATCTCAATAAAGATTTATTTAATTTACATTCATTATCAAAATAATGACTAGTCACACAAATATAATCTTGTTTAGCTCTACCACTCCAAATATCGGCGGTTAGAGTCACACTAACATGACAAGTATGTATTTTATTTTTTAATTCTAATTTCATTTTCCCAAACAATTTTATTAAATCATTTTTAGTTGCAATTTTAGAATAACTTTTAAATCCTGGAAAAATGAATTTTTAATAAATCTTTCAAAATATTTATCTTCGGCCATATTAATAGGTTGATTAGTTACAGCAATATATAAAGCTAATTGTTCCCTATATACATCAGAATTATAACGTCAAGTAGTATACTCATATTAGGTATTTGAGTTTGATTGGTTTCTCTATTTCCATGTTGAGCAATATATTTATTAGCATGCCTTTTTAAAGTATTAGTACCATTACCTGAATCAGCTTTATTAATATTTTCACAATACTTGCATCTTGTTTTCTTCACTTGAACTACATTTTCTGTCTCGTAAAACTTATCGAAATGCACCCAAATGTCTAATGTGTGCCTGTTGTCGGTTTCGACAGTAGTTGATGAACCCGCTTCTGCTTGAGATGAAGTTGGATGAGAACGACGATTACAAGGATGACTTCTAGAACCACCGAGAGCTGTAACAGCATGGGGAGGAATCAGGGAAATATTATGAGGTGCATCAGATTTTGAGACTGGGAAAGCGGGACTATTTGAATCTACTGCATTTATGTTAGTAAATTCAGGGGGACTAGGATAGTTTCCTTCATCATCGAAATCGATGGGATGGAAATATCTATCTATTGTAGTTGAAAAACAAAATTTGATATAGAAGAAATAAAAAATTAAAGAAAGAGAATTGGAATTTGGAAATATGAATTGAAAATTGCAAAAACTAATAAAAATTAAAATAAGAGCAAATTGACAAATAACAACAAAGAGAATAATTGAGAGATTTCAATAGAGATTAGAGAAAATGAGAGAATTTGAGATGTGAGAAAATATTATAGTTTAGGGCCTATTTATAGAAAAAATGGGAAAAGAAAATGACGAAGAAGACCCCTCCAACTGCTATAAAACGGATATATTTCAAGGGTAAAAAGAGTATTTGCAAAAAAAAAATATTTTTTTTTTGGTCCGAATTACCAAGTTGGCAGGTTTTTTTAAAAAAAAAAAAGTAACCCGTCGAGTTGCCATATTAAAACCTGGCCCGCCTAGCGAGGTACATGCGGGTTGGGTTCAACCCCACCACCTTTTTTCGGATTGAACCCTCCTTAATGTGGGCTAGGTTAGGATTGACCTACCTAACCTGACCCATTTATTCCACCTCTAGGTGAGATTAGATCATATATAAATCTTGGTTAGATTGAGGAAGAGATTTAATAAATATTTAAATCGATCAACATTGAATAGGCCCAGCTTGACCAAACCGATTAAAATCGTGATATAATAAGTGGTGCCCAAGTTTATTTATATCCTAAAAGAATATGTGAAAGCATCTTTTAGGTATAAGAACACCGTGCACATGGGACAAAACCTAAGATAATTAAGCATAAAAATATTGTTGAAGTGATCATATCATAGGGCTGAAATGTTCCTGTAAATTTCTAAAATGTTGTTGGGACACAAGTTTGATTTGTATTGTTACTGTCTCCAAAATGTTGCCTGCACCATAATGTATTTATTGTGTGTTGTTAATTCTAGCTTTGGCTTCACATTCTCACTTCACTTTCATTAATTTTCTTCCTAATCCGGCAACAATGGTTTTACTTCATTGGATCCAAGGATATTGGTTCCCCCAGGAGAATTCTGGTCTTGGACTCGGTAAACACATGGTCTCCAGTCTCCACCTTTTAAGTAGAGGCTCCAAATGCCAGTCTCAGCCTCTTGCTACATGGGGAATTTAATCATGGTGTTGATATGTTCAGTGCGGCAGTCTGATCCGACCTCAAGAGTAGATATTGCCTGCAATGAGTTCTACAAATGTCTTGATTCTCAATTTTCATAGATTTGTACGCACGTATTGATTTCAATATACCAGTTTGATCCAATCCAAAGGGAAGATATTACCTACATTGAGTTTCTCAGATGTCTTCTTTTTCATTTTCATGGATCTTTAAACACGCATTGATTTCAATGTAGCAGTCTAATCCTCCTACTATATTGTCTGTTTTGAGTTTCACACGTCTTTCACTTTCACGAATTTGGCAACACGTATTAGTTTCAGCATCTCTATAAAGTTTAATCATCTCATTATTAATTATGCAATGTGAGATTTCCGAAACTAAACAAATTGAATCATGATAAACATATACTCAATATGAACACTATCAAACGAGTAGAACGTGTCTACTTTTAGTTTTTAGGTTTCACAAAAGCATCTTTTCACCCATAATACCAAACACGCCTATCTAATTGGGGAAATACAATAATTCTAACTTGCTGTCACCAACAATGTAGGATGTGACACTCAATCTTTACTTTGAATTATGAAAACGTGATCTTGTAATGGGGAAAAAGCTTCAGAAAGCAACATAATCCATTAATTAGTGTTATGCTTAGTTCATTGTAATCCACTTGGAAACAAACTGTAATATTATAATTTAGAGGTGATGACTTGAGGACAAAGAGCACACAGAAATTGAACAAAAGGGTTCAAAGCGGCATCAAATGAGATCAAGATTCTGATCCGAATTGCACACAACAAGACGGCTTCCTGGAATTTTTGGCCAATTGCAAATAGACAAACTCAACATCTTTGTAAAACACAATATTATTCTCAACTCTTTATAACTTGATATACAATTTCAAGGTAAATTAATTATCTAACATAAGAGTCATTCTCTAATCAAACGTTCAGGATTATGCTTAATCACCATTGGTTTCATTTTATAGGATGATATTATATTTGACAATTCAGATCTAATAGTAAATATACATAGTCCTAACAAATTACTATAGAACGTCATGACTAAATAACCATTAACATAAAAGATTATTAAAATATAATTAAGTTGCGTATTAACCATTCTAAGATGCATTGTTAGATTCCCAAGACGTTTTATCATCCATCTATTTTATCCTAAGTTTGTTTTTTTTCCTAATATGGACAATGCGGGAAATGCTTATTAATATTCAGATAGAAAACTTCTCATTGTTTTAGTCAGCTAAATCCATAACATTTCAGGAAAGGGAAAAAGATCGACAACCCAATATGAGTTCAACATTTTCAATAGCAGGAAGGCCTATAGGGGTTGGCAATGGCAAAAGAGAATTCTGTAAAAAAGCTTTAGTGATTAGAGCAACAAGAAGTGGTGGAGTAACAATGGCCCCCAGGGAAAAGAACTCAGTTATCTTCCCTGGATTGTCAAAACATGGCATTCCTCACACTGATCTCCATGTCCGTGACATTGTCGAGAGGCAGTCTCAGCAGGCTAGCTTGTTTGGCAAGGAAGATGCCTGCAGAAGAAAGCCTGAGTTCCATCCTTTGTTCCTTGAAGAAGCTTATGAAAGATGCAGAAAAATTTGTGCAGAATATGCAAAGACTTTTTATCTAGGTCCAATTTCACTTCCCTTCTATCCAACAATTTCAATCATTGGCAAATGGCTTACTGATGAATTTTTTATGCTGCAGGTACTTTGTTAATGACAAAGGAGCGACAAAAGGCAATCTGGGCGATTTATGGTAAGTACTAACTGTCAACTCTGCAGATTAATACAAGGAGAGGACTCATTTTCTAAGTTGTTTTTGTTTAAAAGGCCATTGTTTCCCGCTTCCCAGAGATTGCAGGGTTCAGTGGAGACTCCAGTTTTTAAACCGGGCTTGCAAAGCAAGTGTCGAGGAATTTCTGGGCTCTTAAAAAAAAAAAAAAAAAAAAAACACTAATTTAAATGATTTTCTGCAGTTTGGTGCAGGAGGACTGATGAGCTAGTTGATGGGCACAATGCTGTGTGCATGAACTCCAGTGTTCTTGATAGATGGGAAGAGAGGCTGCAAGACATCTTTGATGGGCGCCCTTATGACATGCTTGATGCTGCACTTACTGATACTGTTTTTAACTTCCCTTTAGACATCAAGGTGCCTGCAGAATTCGCTTTTCTGTAGTTGTCTCCTGTGAAGTGTGAACATCCTGAATTTTTTTTAAATCCGAACATGTACTCCTGATGCAAGAAAGTTAATGTAATAACAGATTTATTTTTTTGTTCAGCCTTTCAGAGACATGATTGAGGGAATGAGAATGGATACAAGGACATGTCGATACGAAAACTTTCAAGAACTCTATCTTTATTGCTACTATGTAGCTGGGACAGTCGGCCTAATGAGTGTTCCAATAATGGGAATCGCACCAGAATCTGTAGTTTCTACTCAAAGTGTATACAACGCTGCACTATACTTGGGAGTTGGAAATCAATTGACAAACATTCTTAGAGATGTGGGAGAGGAGTAAGTTTCAGTATAGAGAAAGCATAGTTTGCTTGCAGTTGAAGCCTCTTAATTTAATTTCTTATTTGTGTTTTATTGTCATTTCAGTGCTTCAAGAGGGAGAGTTTATCTTCCCCAAGATGAACTAGCACAGTTTGGACTATGTGACGAGGATGTTTTCTCCAGAAAGGTGAATGATAGATGGAGAGACTTCATGAAAGAGCAGATTACAAGAGCAAGATTCTACTTCAAGCTGGCCGAAGAAGGAGCTTCACAGCTCAACAAGGCTAGCCGTTGGCCGGTATAATCTATTTAACATTTCCACATCTTAGTACTGATAGTGAAAAAAATGTCAACATAAAACATGAAACTAATAACACACCGATAGTATCAATCATATATAAAAAAATTTAGATATTTTCAAGTGCAAGAAAAACAAAACTCAATCTAGATTCAAGACATCATTGAAAGTGAAGGAAATTAAAAACATCAATTTCATAAAAAAGTCAAGGCTTTTTGTAGAAGATTACAAAATGATTGATGGTGATATATATAAATGTTTATGCAGGTATGGTCATCCTTGCTACTGTACAGAGAGATTCTGGATGCAATTGAAGAAAATGACTATGATAACTTGACAAAAAGGGCCTATGTTGGAATGACAAGGAAGTTTATGATGCTGCCCTTGGCATATTCTAAAGCTAAATCAACACCACCTAGCTTCAGCTTTCCATATAGAATTTGATTGTAGAAGGGCTTGTGACTTTGTAAATGTAATATTAGTTGCCCCCTTTTTAAGGGTTGACAACTTACGCTTTAAAATTGTCGGGAGTTGTAGGTATATACGGATTTTGTGAAGTCTGTCAATTATGTAAAGCTGCAATTCCTTCCATGAACTACTTAGCAATTTTTCTACCACGGCATCTAAGTAAAACCACAAGACAGTGGCAATATGAGTTTAAGCACCGGTAAACTCTCGTTGGAGAGAATTGGTTAAGCATAATACTATGAATACAAACGAGAAGACATGAACCACTTAAGTTAATGATTAAGATTAACCAAAGGACATTAACTCATTTGGAAGTTTTTAACGAACTTGGCAATAATAAAATAAACCTTGAAGGGATGAGAATACTTTCAAATGCAACCATCCAAACCTGTACAGTCCAAAGCAACAGAAAATAGAATGAAAACAAAGAAAAGAAGTTGCTAGAGAACACATTAGATTGAGACTAAGGAAAAAATTATAAAGCACCCATTATAAAAGACAAAAATAGAAAAGTTGACTCATCATCCCTCTACAGATCCCCAACCCCAAGATATTGTATCCTTCTACATGAGAAAAAGGACAAGAGAAAGGAACAAAATCAAAATAAAGAAATAAAAATGCCATATTGTTTGCTGGAAATGGTACTTGAGCCACTACGGCGACGCCAGCTCCACTGCTTCCTCTTTGTTGAAACTTAAGCAAACAACCGAATGAAGGGGCTGTCCCTGCCAATTCTACATGCTTTTCCACCCAATCATCACCTCAGTGAAATTATAAATCTTAAATTTGAAAAAAGCCCTCAGTACATAAACCACCTGCAGGCACTGGATGCAGGGAATATATCGATTTAATACCAGCTTGCATCATAGGAAGTAGTCAGGTGTTCTCCTTGTCACATCTGGCTCTCCTCTCCTTGGAGCAGGCTCAAACTGCAAACATACAATGTTCATAAATGGCAAAGCATATATAACAACCTGAGATGCAGCAGGGCCTATAGTATTCATGCTTATGTGCTCAGTTTGTGTGCATGCGGATGAGCGAGAGTGCGAATGAGATGAGTGTACATGTGACTCTGCAAGAATGTGAGTGAGACCAACCTGAATGAAAGTGTGACCCTTGCAGTCATCAACTTCCAAGATGGATGCCATGTTTCCACAGCGATAACAATAATTAGGTGCACTAAATATAGTAACCACTTTTTGTTCCTGTCAAAAGAATGCAAACCAATTATCCATCAGTCACAAACCCAAAAATTAAGAACGCCAATAAAAACTTCAGAATTGGGCAAAGTAGTTACATGACCCCAGTTGTATCCTTCCATAACCAGCTGGTGCGCCCTTGCAATCAGCTTTAAGTTATTTGTATGATTAAATTGCTCTGATATATCCTGAAAAACAACAAAAATTAGCACACCCAAAGAAAAGAGCATTTAAATGGGAAAAAAGAAAGGGAAATTATTTTTACTTGACCAAAGGTGTATCCAGCACCCCTGGGTGAGATACCCCAACCACAACGATCATCTGGATCAGACCATAAAAGATCACACATCGGACCCTCATGGGGAACTTCTTGAACACGATCAAAATTACGTATGTTATCAAGGGTCTCAATGGATGGAGATAATCCACCATGGAGACAAAATATTTCTGATTCAACCTTCAAAAGAGAGAGGAAAATATAATAAAGATCCAAATAATAATCCCAAACTGTGAATATTAACAAAACCAATGACATCACAAATAAAAGTCAATATTCTACTCGCTAAATAAACATGTTAGCACTGAGCAAGCACAAACTCGAAACTACTGGCTTTGTTAACGACGAACTATAAAATATATGGAACTTGAAGAATTAGCAATTGCTCAACTTAGGAGTCGCCAGGATACTTCACAAATTGAGATTTCTAAGTAGCATTCTTTTTTCCTTCAAAGTTTCTTTTCATGCCCAGAGCTATTCTATGTTTATCTTTAAGACATCAACAAATAATATATAGTCATACTAACCAATGCAGTCAGTGGAAAATAGTCGAACAAATCTGTAAATATCTTCCAGACATTGGCATTTCCATACCTGCAAATATATACAAAAATAAATATCTTAACAGACTAGTAGGAAAGAAAGAACTTTAAAATGGAAGTTACTGAATTAAGAGAATAGAAGGAAGGGATAATAGCAGAAATATAGTTTTTATATTTCTAAAAGAAACCAGGAAAATATTGCATTCATTTACATGAATAATTTGTCATATCTACAACCTTAACCAGTATTCATATTTTCCAAAAAAGATAGCCCACAGACTATACACCTGGAATAAAATTATTTCCTGCAGAATCATATATACTAGCTAGCTACGACTGTCTCTATAGGATCCCACATTGAAAGGGAAAAGGGTGGGCATGTGGGTTATAAAGGCTTGGGCACCCTCCCTTGGCAAGCCGGTTTTCCAAGGAGAGTTCTACCCAAGCCCATGAAAGACTCATGGCCCAGCCCAAAATTTTTGAATTATTGGAGTGGATTCCTATCAATTGGTATCAGAGGATGATCCTGCACCTATATGGCAACGCACGCGTGGCAGGCTGACCCATGACCGGCTAACCTTGGGCCCGGGCTGCTACCCCTATAAAGGGCATGAAGACCCGAGGGAAAGAGGATCCGCATAGTCACCCAAGGGGTAAAAAAGCCAACGGGGGTAAAGAAGCCGACGTGGACGTCGGTTGCGGAAGCGTGATGGAATGTTAGGATCCCACATTGAAAGGGAAAAGGGCGGGCATGTGGGTTATAAAGGCTTGGACACCCTCTCTTGGCAAGCCGGTTTTCCAAGGAAAGTTCTACCCAAGCCCATGAAAGACCCATGACCCAGCCCAAAATTGTTGAGTTATTGGAGTGGGTTCCTATCAGTCTCACTGAACAAACAATAATCTGTATGACAGTGCCCAGACATAGTCCTATAACAACTTAAACAAAAAGGAAGGAAAGCAAATACAAAGTGTCTGAAAGAAACAATTTAAAATTTTATGACAAATTCTGAATTAAGGTTATAATCTTAGTCACAAACTATTAAAAAAATATGATCCTTAGAAACCAAGGATTCCAGGAAACTCACTTCCTAAGGCACTCATCATAGAACCCATAAACTTGAGTAATCTGCAATAAGAAACATTATTCCATAATCAGCATTTAAAAAATAAACAAATCAATCAAGACAAATAGATGTAAAATCAAGAATCAAAATCATAATGTTGCAAACAGAAATTTCACCTCTAATGGAACAACAAAAACAAAATGATACTGAATTGAATTTTCCAATATTTTAATAAATAAACTATAGCCCTGCGGTCAGATCCGACAACTACTATTAAATATTCTCTAACTTGAAATCAAGCAAAGAAAATAGTTACATAAACCATGCTCAGTAATTTAATGCATAACTAAAACTACATAAGAAAGCATACCTGACGACTTTCATGATTTCCCCTAAGAATAGTAATCCTCTGAGAATAACGCACTTTCAAAGCAACAAGTAGCTGGATAAAAAATTTCAACCGCATTACAACCATATACAAAATGAAAATGTTTCCAAACAATTTTTTAAAGGAAATGAATCATAAACAATTGATAATTTATAAAATGCAATGCTTTACACTTTGAATTAAAGGCATCAAGTGATGAAAAGAAAGATAGCAACTCTACTTACTGTTACAGTTTCAACTGAGTAGTACCCACGGTCGACATAATCCCCCATGAACAAGTAATTTGTATCCGGACACTGATCAGAAAAATTGAATCCAAACATAAGTTCATAATCATGACTCAAATAGGGAAATCAAAATGAATCTACTCAGGGAAAATGAAAAAATAAAGAGTTCCAGCAAATACAAATATTGCACCACATCAAAAGGAAATGTTAGATCCAAAATTTTAATTATATGATATCACCCTTCAGGCATTGGCCACCCTAGGCAAATAAGTGAGACCAGAAATATTTTAGTTGGGGGACATGTGGTAGCAAGCTCATGATATTTCAACCTAGGATAGGTATCATTACATAACATTTCTAGAAAGAGGTCATCAATGAAAAACTGAACTGACAGGGTCCAATTGCCAATTGTATTATAGTTTAACCTCGAGGGATATTAAGGAAATTTCCCTTCACTATATTTTATATTAAGAAAACAATGTTTCATATCATTTCTATAATACACTCATCTGGAGCTCAATTAGCAGATTTCCACATTAAAATTAAACTCCATTAGCATCTAACCATAAATCACAGGCCTTAATTAATCACCATATCTTCAGCAAAGAAAATAACCCGAACTAGAACAATTACCTTTCCCCCAATGCGAAAAAGCTCTGCAAGATCATGAAATTGCCCATGAATATCACCACAGATTGTAACAGGGCTCTTCACAGGCTGCATTGCATAAAACCAAAAAGATTAACTAGAATTCACTGCCACTTCAAGTTCATGATGCTGTAGCATGTCTTACACCCAAAAACAAGAATAAAAAAATAATAATGAACACAAACCTAATGCACTAACCACAAAACCAATAACTTTGAGCGACACAGAAAATCCACAAGTAGTCTAGATCTCATAGGCCTAGTAATAACCATGACAAGTTGAAACAGATTGACAAAAATTCTTTTCCACCCAAATAAAGTAAAAAGCAGAATCATGCTAAAATATATTAAGCCCTTACTAGAAAAGAAAAGATGCACAAATTACCATTGCTAGGCTACAAAATTCTGAACTCTGACCTAGATACAAATCCAATCCAGAACCCATTTTCTACAAATTCAAAAATTAGCCGAGAAGATTATTGTTGTTTGGCAAAAATTATTAATTCGTATTGAGAAGTAATAAGTGCCAACGATTTCTAAAAGAAAAAGTTAAATAAGAGACAGAAAAAGAAATCATTGCAACAAGTGCGTTCATTAGCTACTAACAAACTCAAAGAAACTAGTGATGATAAATCACCTTCCTTTATGACAACCTCCAATGGTCAATCTAGATCTAAGAAGTTGAGAACAAAAAAATAATGAATGAGAAAATGAAGCATGAGAAATGCAAAATACGTACATATCACAGGGATGTCTAAAAGAATCCATAGATATATATCTGTAATTAGAAAACCAAAAAAAAAAAAAAAAAAAAAAAAAAGGTAATAATACAATGGAAAGAGAAGCATACCTGGACATTGCTTTCTTCCATCAATATCTCTTTAGCCTTATCACATAACATTCTAACCTGAATCATGAAGACAAATATCATAGGTAAATAAATCAGTAGAATGCTGATAGAAAACTTTCATCCAACAAAGATGTAATAAACAAATAAATGTGACAAAAAAGAAGGAAGAATAAGACAAATGCACAAATTGGAGAACTACACTTCATTAAGGATAAAACTTTAAAAGGAAAAGCTCCCACTAATATAAGGCAAAAAAACTAAAAGTTGTAAATTTCATCAGATTCTAAATAATTAACCGTCTTCCAATAGAAAGAGTTCCAGGAAACTATAGTGATTAATATATTGTCACATGTTCCAAAGCATTTACCTCTGGTTTTAGCCATCACCGTATTACTTCTCATAATCAATCAAACATAATAATGACAGGAACTAACCAAAAACAGAGAACACAAAGGATACTGTTATTTAAGTAAGATTAAACAGAGAACCATAGCTTCAACCATTCTTAATATTCTATATCCTAAAAAAAACAAATTAAAGAAGTTTGCAAGCTCCTTCAGCTTCAAAACCAACGATTTTATGAAAACATGAAAATGTCACATATCCCAAGATCCATTTACCTACGCCCTAACATCTAATAAGAAACAATTGGCCACGTCGCCACCCATCAAGAACACCCAATTCATCAAGAAATCAGTCAGCATAGCTGGCAAGATCAACATTAAGACTCACCACTTAGATTTCAGCAGCTCAACGAGTTAAATTACTTCTATTTCACAAAAACTTTTCAAAATTTCTACTCTCTGATTCATTAATACAATGGATTACAACTCAAAATCCCTAAATTCAACAAAAGTTGTCACTTTCACCATCCCAAAATCAAATTTAAAGCAATACCCCCAGCAGATCTGATCCCACTACCCTCAAATGAACCCCAAAACTTCAAGATCGGTTCAAACAAACCCTAATTTCACACAACTCACAGATCACCCACCAAAACCAAAACTTTAACCGATAACGCCTCTCGAACTCCACCCAACCCGGATCCGACTCATTCCCCCGAAAACCAACCACAAAACACTCAAAAGCACCCAAAAAAAAAAAAAAAATTAAAATTTTCAAAAATTAAACCTTCAATTTACGGTACCTCTTGCTCCGACAAGGGCTTGCACTGCATGAGCTGAGAAATCTGCTCGTCGAGGCTTCCATTCGTGTTTGAAGGGACCGAATCCAAGCTCATTTTGATCTTCTTTCTCTCGTCGTTTTTGTCTCCTCTTCTTGATACTTCTAAAGCTACAGATTCAGATCCCTCCAATTGCTCTGCACGATAACCCTAACCCTAGATTTCGAGTAGAAACGATTTACAAACCCTAATTGTGATTCCAAACCCTAGAATTTCAATTTCGTTCTTCGAAAGGGTTTAGAAAGAGAGAGAGAGAAGAGAAAATGAAATGAAATGAAAAAAGAAAGCAAACAAAGTGAACGGTGGTGGAGAAACCAATAATAATGATCTTTAGTTTAATTTTTTTCTTTGGGTTTTTTCACTACGGTCCCTCATCAGAAGTTTTTAACGAAAGAATCCCTAAAAAATCTTGGGTCCGACTGGTGAACTAAGTCATCTGCATGGACATTCTACTCAGGGACGAAACCAAAAAATTATTTCCGAGAGGGCTCAAAAAAATTTTAAATTGATATAAGAATAATATTTAATAGAGACAGAGTAAACAAAATTTATTTTGAAATAGAGAAACAAATGAAAAAACAGTATATGTTGAATTTTGTAAAACAAAATGAAAAAATTAGAGCATTATAACTATTTATTATGATTAATAGATATTTTAATAAAATTAAAACAATAAAATGTAATCATTTATGTATTTTATATAAAACTATTATGAGTGCTGGAGGTCGGGGGGCTCCCTTGGCTCCGCCCCAGATTCTAGCATGTATCTTTTATTTCCTACATTCATTATATAATTATCATGATTATTGTTGAGCAATTTTGAAAAACAAGTGTAGATATGTGAAATTAAATTCATTACCAGTTTTGAAATTCGTCATGAGAATCCTTATAATAATCTCGATTGAAAGAGTGTATTATATTACATATGCATTCATGCGATTAATAACATCCTATTTTTGTATTTGTATATAGTTGTAACAATTATTGATTAATTTTTAAATAAAAGCATAGATGTGAATCTTATTTGATGTATATTTATTTTTGTCAATAACATTTAATTTTTAAAATTTAATAATGGGATTTCGATAGAGCTTTATAAGGCTAAAATAATAATACTCTAAACAATGGACCTACAATCAAATATATATATTAAGTATTAATGAAATCATTATTATGAAATTTAATTAAAATTTTAAAATAGCTTAATTAAATAATAAAATAATTATTAATTATTAAAATTAAATAAATGATTGCATTAATACAAAATGTAATTAATGATTATTATAATCATTATTAAAATCTTGTATTCAAATATGTTATATAGGTTTGCAGTTCTCATTTTCAAACAAGCATATTAAATGCATTTTCATTTTCTAGATACATATTATTTAAATTAATCCCTTTTTAATATTTTCAATATTTTCGCCGAATGAAAAATGAATAAACCCTATATTTTAAGAAAAAACTATTTGGTTTACATATTTATAAAAAAGTTTTTGATACAATTCTAAAAGCTAGTTAAAATTTAAAAAAAAAAAAATTCTAATTTTCTACATTAATTTTTCATATTTTTCAACTTTAAAAAAATTGAATATTATTCTAAAACTGTTTCCAAATATTAAGGATATTTATATAACTGAAAGTTTTTTATTCAAATAATCAAACAAATCCTCCCTAAACTTTTTCTTCACTAAACAGTAAACACATGCACATTACCATTCAACTCATGATTATGCATGTGACTCTAATCATTTTACGGATTCATATGATTATTTTTTAATTTACAGGCCCTTTATGATACAAACCAACAAATAGGGGATCTAAATGTACCTACTCCTGATATTATTTGCTTTTTTATTTTAAATTTTTGTGACTATGAAACGGAACTCTTGAACAGCGGGAGGGGAATGTGAGCAACACGGGCAAATAATATTGTACTTCAGAGTGAGATGGCGAGATTTGATTGGACAGAGAGTGACATAAAAAGGGTGGCGCGTGGGACTTAATGGGCTATAGAGACAGAGTGAGATTGTGGATGGGATTGGCTTATGTTAAGAAAGATCTTAAAGGAGTGAAAATAATGTGTGTGTGTGTGTGTAAGTGACGGATGTTGTTGCTAGATCCTTCAAATTTAATCATGAAATACGATTTTTACTATTTCATTCTATTTAAAAAATAAATAGAAAATAAAAATGAATGATTAAAAATATCATATACTATATACTAAGATATTGAATAATATATGCATTTTAATTTTTGAAAGATGAAACAATGATATTTATAAAGCAAAAAATGAATTAGGCTCTCACGATAGAAGTGGTATTATAAACTTATTTTAGATGTAGTATATAAAGGCATGCTTGTTGCCTAATATTGAAGAAACCCAACATTTAGTAAAGCATTTAATATATTTAGGTGGGTATTTGAGTCTATCGAGAGATTATTAAGTTTCAAACGCTCAACAATTTTCATAAATAATTAAATAGTTTGTCTTGTGAGAAATATTCTTTACTTTTATAAGGGTTTTTTTTTTTTTTTTTTCTATATCTAGGGATTTTTTTTTAATCTTTTTAAAGGAATTTTTGTAATAGTTCAAAATAATCTCTAAAATAGGGATGGGCACGGGCCGGGGCGGGGAATCCCCGAATAAAGCCCGTTCCTCAAACGGGGAATTCGGGGAATGTTTAGGGGTTTTGTGTCTTTTTGTATCCTTAACTATTTTCTCCAAATTATAATATACCAACCAAAAAGAAATTAAATATATAATGCACATAGGGATCATACCACCCAAAAAGAAATTACATCTATAATGTACATATTAAATATAAAAACCATAATGCTAAATTGATAATATATTATAATATGTGACATAATATATAATGTGTTATAATAAATTCTAAATAAATTACACCATATATATTATAATGTCTCTTTAATATATAATGTATTACATATGATACATTATACATATATATTATAATAAATTCTAAATAAATAACTACCATATATATTATAATAAATTCTAAATAAATGGCTATAATTATAATATAACAAGAGCAATTAGGTAATAGAATTAAAATAATGATTCAATGAGGGACAAAAAAAAAAATTATAATGATTTATTGATTCATTATAATCAATCAAAACACCAAATGATATACTACATATATATTATGTATTAACATAAGATTATAGATAATAGCATATTATGTGTAATGCATAACATATATATGTCATATACATTATACTAATATAGTATATACTATATATAACATATAATGTATAATATATAATGTATAATATCAAATGTATACCATATATAATATATAATGTACAATGTCGAATGTATAACTTTTGTTTCATAGCATTAACATATTATGTATAATATATAATACATATATATTAGTTTTATTTATTACCTATTTGTATATGGTTTCATAAAATACTTACACAATTATAATTTGTCATTATATAATAAATGATTAGTTTTCAAATATTAAAATTAATATAGGTATATATGATTGATTTTTAAATATTAAAATTTAATATATATATATACGGGCCAAGGCGGGGCAAGACCTATCCCAGCCCCAGCCCGTCCCCGAATTTCGGGGCTAATTTTAGGCCTGATCCTTGCCCAAAGCCCGAATGATTCTGGGAAAATCCGTCCCGTTCGGGGCAGGTTCCCGCGGAGCCGGGCTTTATGCCCATCCCTACTCTAAAAGACTAAAACTCTTGAAATTTAACAATCTCTCGAGTATGGATGAAATTAACCCGAACTCATATTGATGTTTACGGGTTCTTTATCTTTGGACATTTTTTTCTTCCCTTTATTTATGTTTTCTTTAGTTTGCTTAGTTGGTAAACTCATAAGAAACATATTATGAGAAATAGCCACTATTATATCATATCTCAAAACCTTTTATTGTATTTTGTTTTATTTTATTAACATGTTTCTAATAAGGTTAAGTACAGAAATTGCCCCCATTGGCCACTATTCACCAAGTGTAATGAAAATTAACCCATACATGGTGCTCTTTCTAAAATAATCACCCAACTTTCATAATGCCTAGTTTACCCTTGTTTATATGTAATACCTTAAACCAAACTATTACTTGATCAAAGTCTGTGCCAATTGATTTCTAAAAGGTTAGCTTCTCTTGATTGATACATTTGTTTATATACAATTTATGTTTAAAACTATAATTTTAGGCTAAATTTACGATGTATTAATGATAGTTGTTAATGCATAGGTTAGAAAATAATTTGTGGTAAGTTTGGTGACATAAAAATGTGATGAAAATAATACAAAGATGAAACACAAATGAAACTTATGTTTGAAATTAAAGTATCCTGTTAATGATAATACTCATAAGATAGAAGATTAAGTATTAGAAACATCTTTATATTGCTTATATTAAATGGAATGGATGGCTTATATACTAGATGAAATTTTCAATTTATTAATAATAATATTTTCTAAAATAAATTAAGATAGATAAGTCAATGTAAAACTTTAAAATTAAAAAATATTATTAAACCATATATATACCTTCTTGGTTATACAAATAACTACTTTTTTATTTCTCCTACATTGACAAGCCTTTGATCAAAATATTAATTATTACATCAGTTAAGATAACGGTTTAAAACAATGACTTATGACCTTTTAAGGGTAAATATGACAATGAAGATTCGACATCAAAGTCATAATGACCCCAAATTAAGGATGATTAAAGAAGATTATTAGTTTATAGATAAAGTAATATTCATCATTTAATATTAATGACACTTTTTTACCATGAATCATTGAGACAATGTGCAATACACCTTTACATTTGATTTAATGTGTTACATGCTTTCAATTGGCACTAATTTTTATTATAGAAGTATCAATGGTAATATAAATGGTGTAAAATAGCAAAAAATGGGTGCTCTAAATTTATCATAATGAAGTTTAATCTCAACTATTTATATCTTTTTTATTTTCGGTCTTCTTATTTATGACCAGTTTCTTATAAATTGCCTTCAACTAGTGTTTATGGTAAAAACAAATTGTTAGGGCCAAAAATTGTCTTGGGCTTGACGAGGCCCAATAACAAAATAAACATGTCACGACCCAAAGCCTCAACCCAATCTCGATTGGGCTTACGCTTAAAATCACCTTGCGACCTACCCACTCTATGAGTTGGGCTATCCTATAAGTTAAGCTAAACTGGGTTTCAACCCATTAGCCTGCAACAGTCTATAAATAGGAAATCAGAATCCCATTCTATTTCCTCTTCTACTAAGATT